TTTCATTAAACATCTTAGGCTTCCCATATTCCAAACACAAACTTTCAAATATGTGACGTCACAGCCCAAAATTACCTCCTTCCCCAGGCCACATTACTGTCATAAAGCTGATTCTTTTTACTCTGTAGGCACCACAACAAAGTTCAGACCAAGTTTTAAGCGATTTTTCAACGAACAAACCCATTTAAATCAGAATGACTAAACGAGGTGACGTCACACTAACGGTCGCTCCATGTTGAAGATAGGGCCTTGTACAAGGTCCATTTTCAAATGAAGGGAACGAATTTCTTCAACACCAAGAGGCCGCGGGGGTTGCAACCTAGATAGATAGTGGTTTCTGAACCTCGCTGCAACCTTGGCTATCTCAACTCAAACCCCATGTTAACACGCGCACTGCAGCGGGTCTGAGCCGAACACGAACTGCAGGGGGGGGGGGGGGGTTGAAAACAACCCCCCCTGAGATCTCGAAAACGGCGCAACGTAGCGACAAGCGGTAAACGGCGTTGGATAGGTTGAGATGAGATCTACAAGAAATACTAAGATCATTTTTGGGTCAGGTCAAAAACGAGGTCACCAGAGGTCACCGAAGACAAAATGTTACGATTTTCACAACAGGAATTTCGCGGTAGTTTTTCTTGAATAACTTGTCTTGCACACAAGACAGAGGATCGATTCGAACGCCATCGTTCTTAGCTCGTCAAGGCGCATCGAATGATATATGATATGACCTCGAAAGGTCAAGTTGAAAAATTGACCTCAGGTCAAGGTCATGACCTGACCGAAATAGGTCATGTTGCATATCATTCGATCCGCATTGACGAGAAAAACACGATAAACGTCGAACGGAGTCTCTATCTCTATTCAATCTCAAGTTATTGAAGAAAAACCGCTGATGACCTCAGGTGACCTAAGATGACCTGGAGATCACCTTCCAAAGGTCATAAGTGATATGTTTCGGTGAAATCACCAACAGGGACCTGTAATACTATGATCCTGAGCGTATTGAAGTCATAGGATGGCATTCAGAGTAAGTTGAAATTTCTCCCATTGACTTATAATGGGCCGGTCGCAAAAATGACCTGACCTTAGGTCGCAAAAATGACCTGACCTTAGGTCATCGATATAAAAATTCCGAGATATACAAGTTGTAGCTCGTGATGACTTTACTATTTCCTGTGGGTTTCAAGATCATATCTCAACAACTGTGGGCTTGGTGGGATTGCAAACTTCGAAATTTACGTTTCGAGGTAGGGTCACTTGACCTGACCTGGTGACCTGACCATAGGTCACCTGGGGTCAAAATTTTTACTCAAGGTGTGCAAAAGTTGGGAGAACAGGTATGCAAAATTTGGCGGCGCTACGCGCCGCCGTTTTCTCACGATTTGCGAAAAACCACAGGGGGGGGGGTTGAAAACAACCCCCCCCCCCTGCAGTGCGCGTGTTAAAGGTGGGATAGTCCTTTTAAGTACAAAATCAGGATTTATTGAACCGTGCATTTTCCAAAGAAACAAATAAATAAACTCGGTAAAATGACACAAGACATTGCCTTGTAAATTCTGTCCAAACAGTTTCACTCACTAGTTTTCATAGATAAAAAAAACTATTTTCTATTTAATTCATGCAAACACTAAGGGAACTCGTAGAGCTGAAGAAATCAACTATAGGCGCATCCAACCTATTCCGGCAATGAGAAATCCCAAGTTTCGAATGGCATCACAACTTTATTGTGAATTGGATATTTAATTGAACGTTCACTGAACATTTTCTGAACACTGGCCAAGTCACTAAAGTCAAAGCAATCAAACACAAGAACACAATTATTTACATCAGCATCGATTGAATGAACTCTGACCGTCGCTCTTTGTTCGTCCCATCTTCCTCGTGCATTTTCTGACGCTTGACGTCACGTCTGAGACTGAGTGCTGCGAAGACGCGGAAGACCGTGCGGTTGGCGCAGTCCAGTCCCACAGACAATCCCGACCAGCAACTCAGACCAGTCCAGTCCAGTCCGGGTGGAAGACATTGCCGTCGATGCCGAAGGCTGTTGACAATCCTGCAGGTCGCTGCCAGTCCCATAGGCCGCCCTAGACGGCGCAGTCGCAGACGGGCAGGCCGCTGCCGGTAGCACCCTCGGTGAGCAGGCAGTGGCGGCCTTGGCTGCGGTTGAAGGCGCACTCGACGTTCAGCTGGAGCTGGAGCAGCTGCTGATCGTTTCCGGAGAAGGGCTGATGGTAGAGCGCGAGCTGGGCGGACGGGCTGCCCGGAGCTACTGTCGGGTACTCCCTCAGCGGCGGGCAGCGGGCGGCGCCCTCCGACACACACTGGCAGCGAGCAGTACCCGACAGCGTGAACCTGTCGAACTCACCGCCGGCAGAGAAGGCGCCCTCACACAGTCTGGAGGGGCTGGAGCCGGGCATGGCGGCGGCAGAGGCCAGCAGCGCGGACAGCAGCAGCGGTACCACGGACATGGTGACGCCTCCACAGTCAGCAGCACACTGCTCAGCTCTAACGAAGGACGCCGAGGCGCAGGTACCCCTCTCCGATCAATCGAAAACACCTTAATGCGTTTTCCTCAATGCTCCCGGCTAGGTTTCGGCGAAAACAGGGGACCTAGTTCTATAATTAGAGTAGCCCCCAGAATATCTGGTAACTCACCCTTTCACTCCACGCTCTTGCTCCTCTTCAGTCATTCGATTCACATATGAGCCGTGCTTTAAAATCCCTCTCCGCCGTACCCGTCGCTGACCGCATTCATCAATAAATTTCCATTGCATCAGCGCGTGTCGCCGGCGACCGCTGTCGGCGCTGCCCGGCGGACCGGGCGGTAATTTGGTTTGGCGAGCACATACCGTGTCGGCCCGACGGCGATCCATTTTATCGGGGCCATAAGTCACCGCTCGGAGAACCGGAGCTCCTCAGACACCGCCGACCGACGCTGACTTCATCTATATCCGTGACACCGGCGGTCTCCGCGCGCCTCCTGATCAGTAATTCAGTCCGAATCAGGTTTGTAGTCTGTCCGGGGCGTCGCGCTGCCATGTCTTCCAGCGGCGGCGGTGGGGAGACATTGGTTCAGTGCGGCGACGAGCCGCCACCGCTCGCTGCAGAGCTGATTACATACGACCCGGCAGCAGCCGTGCACGGATGTCAGAGTGAGTCAGAGGAGCGCGCGCGCTCGGCAGAGGGGGAGGGGTGGCCTCCGTCCGATCGGTGGCTGCTGATGGAGTGCCTCCACGACGTCCGACTGTGTCCGCGGTAGAGTGGATGGTGACAAAATGACGTCACGGCGATTATCAGGGACGTAATGGCTGCGAGGGTTGGGGGTGGCGGTGATTGCCGAGCGACTGCTTTCCTGAGTCAGAATTATAACCAATCAATAATCTAATTCATGTCAATCGATATCATGAATAGCAGCAGTGGCGATGGAGACAGTACCAGTTGATGGACAGCTCACGTGAGTCAGTGACTCATCTCACACCTGACTCGGGTACTGAACCTTCCGGTGTGAGAGAGACCAGGCTCGAGACGCTTCGTGCTCGATTACTCAAAGATTCTTGACCGGGTCTATAGCAGCCGAAGGCAGCTGAGCACGATGATTGGGAAGGCGAAGGGTCAGGTCCGATACAGTAGATCGCCAAATTGGGACCTTGAAATACATATAGATCATGAGTCGGGATTTCCCGATCACGCGGCAGAGACTGATGTCAACACATTTGGAAGTCCCATTCGGTCGAGGCTCGGATTCTCCCGAATCTTCTTTTGTCCCTGGATTAAAGCTTAAGTTAATTCATTAAAGCTCAGTAATTACTTAATTTATTATATAATCTCAGTAGCAGCAGTCAGCAACAGCCGCAACAACGGCAATCAGTAACATCAGTAAGGCTGCATGAGATATAATATAGCAACAGCCTAAAGGAGCAACCAGTGCATTAGGATTTCATATTTCAGATAACGATAAGTGTGTTAGTGCAAACAATGATTGTTCCGGTTAGCCAGGGGGCACCAGCATAGGCAACTCCAAGCTCATTGCTCCAAAAACAAAACTGGTGACATGATAGGTTTGTGCAATGCCTTATCACTGCGACGTCATCTGAATTTATCATTCACGGATAATGCCAACGGAATGGCACATTGAGCCACAAACACTTGACTATCTATAGCGTATCTCAAGTGATTGCTAGCATCAATGTTCCCAACTCGTCACCGCATTTCCTGTGCAGCTCTTATTATTTTTATTATTAAGTATGTAGGTGATATAGCTTGCTTAATGCTTATCGTCGGCGTCCAAAGCATGTTGATTATTATGCTGTATATAGATAGCCGTGGCACAGCTGAGCAAGATGAAAAAGGCGTAATGAACCATACATCCATCGTTATTGATTGCGATATATTTTCATATTTATTGCTCGTGTTGATTGAGCGTCATGAAAAATGACATGTCATCCGTGGTGCACGGGACGGTACATCCATGAGTCGGTATGAGATCCGCCTATTTTCCATGCTACCTAGCCACAGGCCAGCTGTGGGACCGCCCCTCGGTCCCGGCCAGCGACGCCACAGGTCTGTGGGGACAGGTAACCGTCTCTGTCCGCCCGCCCGCCCGTCTGCCGCTCCCATTGCTGAGCGCGGCGGCACCTTCCTGTCGCGTGCTGATCAAGCGCTGACGACTCGGCGCCGTCGGCGGCAACCGCCGGACGGGCAGCGACGGCGACGCCTTGCAGCTAACGGCCAGCACCGCGGCCGCCGCCACCCCTGCGATTTGTTTGTGTAGCATCGCTAATATATCACAATTTACAGCGGCGGCCGCCACCGGCCGCGCGCCGCTCCGGCGAGGCTAGCAGCGCGCAGCGCCGGCGACACGTTCGGCCAATCAGCGCGCCCGAATCGAGAACTCGGCGTGCTGATTGGTCGAGGCGCGCGTATCTCGGCGGCGACGGCTAGCCTCGAGCCGGCCGGCGGAAAACGTGGGATTCTTTGTTCGGTGCCTGCCGGCGCGGCGGTGCGGGCGCTGGCTGCGGCGGGCTGCCAGCCGCCAGTACCGCGTGGACTGCGGGTCCGTGCGTTGCCTGTGCGTGGGTGTGCGCGATTCTAGCGAAAGGAGATCGGATACAAGCTGGAGGGCGCCGCTCTCGTGGAGGCCAGGTGAGGAGCTGTTGATAGTGGCTCTGTCAGACTGCCCACTGTGTGTTCTGTTCGGTGTTTGGTGAGATATTACGATTATTGAAGCTTGACTAATTTATGTGAGACGCTGCCGTAATTAGTGTCGTCTGCGTGAGTCTGAATGGACGATGACGGGTGGGGAAGCTGGAGTGTTTGCAGGAGGCGTCCCTTTTTCACGAACGGGTGACATTTGTGACATTCTATCTGAGCCGGCACTGGGAGCTCAAAATGGCGACTGTGCCTGTCACACGCCTCTAATTCGCAACCCCGCTGCACTAACCACATGAAATTGTAGCCCTGTTTCACGCTGCGGCTGTGCAAAGACAGGTTTCAGTTGCCTGACTACCCAGTCTACCATCGCGTTACGGGCCAGGTTTTCCCTCTGTCGGGGCGGCGGAGGTCACTGCTGTTGCGCGGGGTCCGCCCGGGTCAGGCACGCTGCCCTCCCCTCCCCTCCCCTCCCCCCGCGGGTGCCGGTGTTTTTCACGCGGCGCTGCGGCCGGCCGGCAGCGCCGCGCGCTCAGCTGACTCGCCGGCAGGGTCGCCTGTGCGCCGCTCGCCGCACGCCGCGCCTCATCCATATGCAGTTCATACAGCGGGCCCACGCCGACCGACCACGAAAGGCTCGTGAAAGCGAAATTGGGCCGTCGATCGGTTGGCTCGCATGCGGCGCCGTCGGCGTTGGCTGGCTCCACCCGGTCCGACAAGCCGGGCGGATCGGCCGCTGCATGCACGGCTCCTATCGTTCCAGCGCTAATTGGATGCGTCACGAACTCAGTGTCGTGCAACTCATCAAATTTTCTTCTATCGGTTTTGCACGGCCCCAATGAAGCATCAATGCTGGTCCGCTCGCAGCAGGAACAGCCCTGTCGGTTACGGCGGGCTTTCGCAATGCTTTCTGAGGCCAACCCGACGAATGCAAAGCAGCGGCGATTTGGGTCTATCGATTTCGACAGCGCCCTGCAAAAGCTACTGCGCGGCTCATTTATTATTTTTACAACGAATGTCAATCATATCCTGCCAGGAATCCATAAAAAAGAGTAGGGATATGTTTCTGGTTGTAACCTTTTTTATGAGACACTAATTCGCTCGGACTTCAGCACTTGTAAACAGGCTCAATTTCTTGTCAACTCCAATGTCACCCTGAAGAAAACAACCTCCTCAGAATGTGTTTCACGTCCCGTTCCCTTTGCGCTGCTCTACTCCTCGCCGCGCTGTATTCCGCTGGGTTTTTGCGGTCCAGTTGCGCAGCTGTCATTTCTCGGTTTTCGCCGCTGCTCGCGCTGCTCAGGGCACGAGGGCACGTGACCCGCCGGCGTCCGCCGTTACCCTGGCAACGGACTCGGCAGGTGGGGGAGCGGGGGGGGGGGAGAGTGAGACCGGATCGCCGGCGTTCGTCTACTCCGTTCTCAGAGCGCTCGTGTCGCAATGCTACCCGAACTGCCGCTGTGTAATAGAATTGTCTGCCGGCCGCGGGCCGGTCCGGTGTCGTCTCCGGTACCGGTAATCTGATACCTGCATCGGCCGCAGCCGACAGCGGTGTCACGCTGCTCATCCCGATACAGTGTGGCTCAGTTGTTCCATACGATCAACACATGGTCCAAACAGTGCCGCTGATTCAGCCGTTGGTGTGTATTTCGAGCTAAAAGAATGCTGCTTACTTCCACCAACTGTTGAGAGTCACCACCTCGGCTCCGGCTGTGCTGCCCGGACGCCAAGTGGGATAATCCCCTCCTCACCCTCCCCCCCCCCTCCCCGCCGGTGCCGACGGCGGCTGTTTACCCAAGTGGGGCCGGCAGCCGGCGGCGGTAGGACCGCGTGACCGGCCCCGCCAGATACGCCCGATAAGGGAGGGCCGCCGAGACGCCCCTCCATTGGCTGCCGCGCCGCGCCGCCCGCGGCCCAGCTGGGCAGACACCTATTCACCGCGGAATTTGTCAGTGAGAGGCGCACGTGATAATCAACTGTGCGATAATGATGTCAAGATGACAACGGTATTCAGCAATACCTACTTGATATGATCATTTCATAAACGCTTATTCCAGAAATTAACTAATTGCCTTGCATGGGTTGTCTCCAGTTAAATTACCAGTTCCCCATCCAACAGCTGCCGGCTGCGCCCAGGCTCTCGACGCTGAAGTGTCGCTTCACTAGGCACACCCACAGTCTCCAATTTCCATTCCCCTATCTTATTTATTCTCTCCCTTTACAGCCTGCTGCTCGTCGCCAAATCAGTCGCTCCCTTTCAATCATCTCCGCCTCACGAGGCTTAGCGCGCGCAGTCGGTCGCCGGGACGGCCCGTTCCGCAGGAGCTCACGCTGTTTTCGGGACCCTAATCCTCTATCCATCACTGAGCATCAGCTTGATTTCGTCGCGGCACGGAACGGTCCGGAATTTCTCCCGTGTCCGATTAGTGAGTCGGGCGGCGCTCGGGTGTCCGTTTATCGAGTGAGTGCCGCGGCGGCCGGCGGCGGCGGCGGCTCGGCGGCGGCTCGGCGGCGGCGGCGCGTCCTTGGTGGGCCGGCGAGGGCGGCGGTGGCGGCCGGCGTCACCCCGTGTGAAATACGGCCTAATTGGCCCAGTGGGAGGGACGCGAGCACGGCCGATGGCAACGCTAATGGGCGATCGGCAGCGACACGGGCGCGAGGGAGCGGCGGCGGCACCAGGCACAGGTGACCGTCCGTGGCGGCAGCGGACACAGGTGACCGTCTGCGGTGGCACCGGACACAGGTGACCGCGGCGGCGGCAGCGGACTGTGACCGCGGTCACAACCCAGTGGATCACCGCTCGCGCACACTGGCTAAATGGCGAGGGAATGGCGACAGAGCGGAGACAGACTCATCTCTGAAACGCCGGCTTATCGGCCATTGATGAAGCACTTTCTAATGAGCTTCTTTAATTAAGAGTCGGCCAGTTAACCATGGGATTAGAGAAATGTCCCGGCAAATAATTCATTCATTGATTCATTTTAAACTCAAGTCGATCTCGCGCTTACAACGACGTACCCTTGACAGTGGCATAATTTGTTTCATCATGATTAAATTTATTTAGCCATTTAAAAGCCTGCGCGGTAATAGCGAGTTGTCGGTAAAATCACTTGTTTATCATTCAACCCGCCACGAGCGATTAATGAGGTGTGTTTTAATCATCTCACTGCTACGGAACCTGTTATGGATGTTGCACAATCCCATTGCGGCCACCTGCAGCGGGCGGCCTTATTGAAACAGCTGGCCGTTATTATACCGGCGATAACTGATGCCGGCAGTTATTCTGTGGCCAAAGGAGACACAATGATAGGTTTACATGGCCGCCAATTCCGCCCCGCCGAAACAAATGGCCGTCTTGCATTTTCCGAGACAAATTGATGAATCTGGAATGAATCACAAAGGCAAGGAGGATGTGAGCTGAAGTAAGGAGGCATTCAATGGTCTGAATTTTGAATAACCCCGAACCGATGCTTCCCTAATTTACCTGCCCTGTTAGACTCTTGTTAGACAAGAAATCATTAAAGGATGGCTTTCGCCTTGTGTTGTGCACCTATTGTTTTACATATTCTGTGGACTCTGCAACAGTGAGAGGAATCAGATTAGCTCAGACACATGCACAGACTCACAAACAAGCACACTCACAAACAAACAGGTAGGTACCGTTGAACGGCCGGCGGGCACACGGGTGTAACACCTCGTGGCCTTGCATTGCTCGCCGTGCAGCTCCAAACCGGTCGTGCGGCACAGGCTGGGATACATACACGACGGTGTCGAGCAGCGCTCGTTGGAAGTTCAGTGTTAGCTCAGGATTGGATCGATTTAGGAATGAACACTGGGCGGAGACACAGACGGAGACAGACAACAGAGACGGAGATTTCAGCGGAAAGTGAGCTTAGCGGAAAAAATGCCAAATTTGGTACGTGGTGTCTCAACCTGCTCCTATCGCCAGCTCCAAAGCCGGTTCGGCCTGATTCTTCTGAATTCGGCAGCTCGATATATGATTTCTAGCTGAGCAGATGAAGGCTGATCTCGCCGGAGAAATGAGATACGATTTCATTACGGTGGTCGGAGCTGAATCGAGATCAAGTTACGTAGGAGAGCGCGATAAAAAGAGGCGGATGGTGCGATTTTCCTGTAGATCTTACATAACTCGCGGGGTCCGGCCCGTATGATATTCATATAGCGCCTGATTAATGCAACATCATGTCTAAGTTAGCATCATTTGAGCAAACTTATTCAAAGTTCCTCCATTGATGGATCGGTGAGAAAAGTAACACTTCGTTGCACTAAAATGCGCCGCCTTATAGGCTAATTAGGGACCACCTTCTCATTAATGTCAATAATTTGTTAACTGCCTCGGCACTATAGTGTGACTCGTGAGGTATGTGGGTATGAACTGAAGTGATGATATGATATCATGCATTCTTCACCGACCAACGTGGCTTCAGGACATAAAACGCCCGCTGATTCACAGCGATTGCCGCTCACGGACATTTTACATGCACTAACTTCAGAATAACGGCATCCGTAATTTAGCTGCGAGCATCAGCGGCTGTTTGACCAGATTAGCATAAAACGACGGCCTAACCTAACCGCATCCAGGTTACAAGCTAGACCGCAGACGTCTTATCGCAGACCTGCACCCAAGCGATCGCTGTGAATGCCTGTTGACCAGGTGACCAAATGACGCGCTTGCGGCTTTCATGGCGCACTGTGCGGTGCAGCGGCGCGGTGGCGATTGTGGCGCACTGTGAGGCGATTGTGACGCAGGTGGCGTGCGTCACGCGCCGCAAGGAAGAAGCTGTGAAGCGGAGCGGCCGACATAGAACGGGCCCGTTTTTATCCGGCCGGCCTCGGTCGACTCGGTGTGGCGGTGGCGGTGGCCGCGATGGAGCGGTGGCGGTGGCGGTGGCCGCGATGGAGCGGTGGCGGTGGAGCGGTGGCGACGGTGGTGCAGTCGCGTTGACGGTGGCAGCGGCGGTGCAAAGTTGGCCGATCATGATATCATCCCTGACACTGTCATGCACAAAGCACTTCCTTCACAATGAACAATGTCTGTTTGGGGGATTGTAGATTTTTCTTGGCTGTACGACAGCGACTTAATCCTGCCATCCATGGCCAAATGACGACTTGAAGTTGTGGGAAGATTGCAGCGATACTGAGAAGCTTATTTGCGACCGCAGTCACAAATAGCGTCTAACTGCCTCACCACTTAGTAAACATTATTTCTACACAGCACACATCACATATTAGCATAATCTTCAATAGTTTGATAGAAGCACGGCTAGTCCAAACTGCTCGTTCAAGAGCCATTTAACAATCGTAGTGAAAACCGGATATTGTAATCCGCACGTTTAGTTGCTTGCAGATCCGTGCACATTTTTCTCCGTCGACCGCTGTTCGGGCCGCTGTGACACAGGGACTGTGCAGGCTTTCCCCGTGCTCCGGGTGTGTTGTGTGACTATCGGCACTGCTGTGTCGTCAGCGTGTGTGTTATCCAGGCGGTCCGAAGGCCGTGACTGATGGCGTGTAACCCGTCACGCCGCGTGCGGTGGGAGTGGGTGAGCCGCTGCACTGTTGACACGATGAGCTGGTGGGTGACGGGCGGGCCGATCTCGGGCGGCGCGATGGGTGTTTGTTGTGCGGTGACGCAGAACCGCCGATTGTTCCCGACTCCCGTTGCCTCAACTAGAGCGTCTGTGGTACTAAACTACCACTGACTCCGTGGGTTGATCCTCTGACTGACATCCTGTCCCTTGTGTTGCAGCGTGGAGCTGACGATCTACGATGAAGGAGGGGGCGCCGGCCGAGCCTAGGTCCGTCCAGAGGTCCTCCGAGACGGGCTCCGGCGCCGCGCCCGCCGCCAGCCTCGCCAAACAGCAGTCACAGCAGCAGCAGCAGCAGCAGCAGCAGCAGCAGCAGCAGCCGGCCACCAACTTCGAGTACGACGACGGAGAGTGGGACGTCGGCATCGGCGACCTCATCATCGACCTCGACGCCGACATTGAGAAGAATAACGACGCGGCGCGCTCGTCTACCTCGTCGGCCGACCCGAGGATGGGCGTCCGTCAGCAGCACAGCAGCTCCATGGAGAAGGGACTCAAGATGAAGATCAAACGCACCTCCAAGCCGGGACGCTCCTCGGAGGCCAAACACGAGATAGTGCAGGTGGATAATAAGGCGGGCGCTGCCGCCGCCGCCGCTGCTGCTGCCGCGGGGGCGGGAGCGGCGGCGGCGGCGGCGGGCGCGGCGGCTCCCTCGGGGGTCGCCGCCGGTGACGCCGCCGATTCCCAGTCGGCCAAGGCAGCGGCCAAGGTGGCCGGGAAGCGTGCTGTGCACAAGAAGGAACGCCGGGACAAGGAGCCGACCGGCGCGGTCAAGACGGAACGCCGCGAGAACGGCGTCGGCGCCGGTGACGAGGACGGCGCGGCGGCCGGCGGACCCGACTCGCCGGGCGCGGCGCCGTCACCGCCGGCCAAACGCCCCAAGACGGATGCTCCCACTCAGGTATGTGAACTGCGCGCGCAGCCGGCCGCGCGGCCCCGCTTTTTGTGTGCCCACTGTGCTTTGTATGCAGGCGTGAGCTGAGCCGGTTCGGTGGGTCTGAGCGCGACTCACCGACTCACTGAGCCGACTGAGCCGCGCTCAGTACCACATCAGCAGACGCCCGCCGGCGCGCGGCGCCGACAGCTGGGCTCTAACTTTGTTCTGATTGTTCTGTTAGTGGTGTCGTTATTGGCGAAGGCCGTGCTGTTTCCGGTGCCTGGTTTGCCCGTAATAATAGAGCGGTCAGGTTTGTTCCATTTGCTCGCATGCCGGCCGACCGGTTCGAGTCAGCGGTCGCCATGCCAACCGACACCCGAGATCTGATAGGGCTGTCGACGTCTATTTGTGGAGCGCGCCCGCCCCGCGGGGAAGCACTGCCTTTGACAGCGGGCCCGCACTTTGATCGGTGGTGAGGCGCTGCAAATAGATATACTGGACGGCGCCACATTGATTCCACTCAGGCCACTATTTGTCACGACACGACATGTTTGCTGCACGTCGTGTGCTGGATGGTACACTTCCGATCGTTTTTCAACTCTGCACTGGGTTGGACTGTTGGTCTGTTTCAATATGTTGCCATTTCCTCTTTCCGTGTTGTGTAAGAACTCGAAATGAGTTGTCTTTAGCCGAGCCGAAGCCAAGCTATGCTCATTCGCCGGGAAACGCCGCAGAATATTACCCGGCGTCGGTAACGTCGGTGTCGACAGCGCGGCGAATAGGACGCATCGGCCCCGTCGACCGAGCGGAGAGCGCCATTTGTTAGCCTTGACCTCGGCAGAGGAGGGGTTGGAGAGGGCAGGATGTCTGGTAACCACTCTGAGCCGTTCCCGACGCGGCTGGTTTTCCAGCGTGACGGACGGCTCAGCGTCCGTCGGGCCGGGTGTCTGTTGTAATGGCCGCGACTTGGCCGGCAGTGGCGCCCAGTTCCGGCGCCGCTGTTGATTCTGGGACGGAATTCGGTCGGTGGATGTCAGGGGTGGCGCGCGGCTGGTATTCCTCCGTCAGGCGGATGGCCAGCTATTTGTGAAGATGGTCATCAGTTAGAGCGGCGTCGGCTGCTAAAAACAAACACACTCGTCCGGCGGCTGGCAGAGAGCCGCCCGTGTCTGCTGACGGTCGGTCTGGCGGGCCGGGTCGAGTCGGGTCGGCGCGCCATCACGGGTCGTTTGTTGTACCGGTCCGTGCCCCGCCCTGAGTGTCTTGGTGACGGGCCCTGGCCGCCGGCCGCCCGCTGGGAGGGTAGCTGGCACCGGCCGAGTTGTGTAATGCCTGTTTACGGCCTGGTTTACAAACCCGCTGACGGCGGGCGCGGGCGGGGGCGGGGGCGGCGTGTCGGACAGCTGGCGACCGCCGCCCACCCGCGCCGCCCGCGACTTCTGGCGACCTGCCAGTGACCCCTGCTGACCCCGAGTGACCCGGCGCCGTGAAGAGATAGGTATGGTTTTTTTTTTTTTTGTTGGGTTAGGCCCTTTCGGTCGACAAGACCATTGCAGAGCCGGAAGGACGATAGGAATTGGGGGAGACATTGGTCTGGGCAGGCACCCTAGTGAGTCGCCGGGGCTGAGCCCGTCCAGAGAACAGGCCACCCAGCCCCAAGGCACTCACTGCACCCGGCTACGGGGTGCGCTCCCTCAGGAGCAGCGGTGCCGCTCCAAGGGAGCAGCCCGCATGAGATAAAGTTGCCTGTCCAGCCCGGAGGGGGGTTGCGGCGTGGAGGAGAAGGATTTCAGTATCCTGAGGATAGAAGCACGGATAGGTGATAGGTATGGAGCGCAGTCACTCGGTCAATAGTGGAACTTCGGACCGTTTGCCGAGAATTAGTTCACCAGGTGACGGGCCTCACCGGTGACCGGCTGCCTTATTTGAATGTATTAGCAAAAATACAGCTTTCGCAAAAAAGGCTACCTTTATTATTGTCAAGTTGCCACCTTCCTTGCCTAATTTACCGGGAGTTAAATCTCTTCGCAGTAAATAAGAACCTACTGTTTTGGCATAACTGAGATTGTAAAACGTCGAACGTCCTAACGCCTTACCTACTCATTATTTATTTCGCATTATGTTGTGCATTCCTTGTCGGATTAAATTGGAAAACGGTGCTGTTTTATCAGTTTCACTCCACAATGTTGTCAGATACGCCTTCCGTGATAGTAAAGCACAGGTTGTCGCTTTCGTTGTGTAATTAGTACAACAGATGGATGAACACGATGGTATCGGTTTCAGACAAGTGAAAAAATCCACCGCTGTTGTCATGTGGGAATTAACTGGTCTTCGGACGGCCACTCGTGGGCCGCCTTACCTGACACCTGTCACTTTGTGACGTCATCGGATCGCTATCAGCTGACGGCGGCAGCTGGCCGCGTGTCGGCTGTGTCAGCTGTGTCAGCTGACACGGGGCCGAACGGGCCGGCACCGCCCACCAGCGGGCATTGGCCGCTACCGCGATCCAATCAGCATTGTGTTGAGAAAAGGCAATAATTTGGAGAAATTAAATGTGCCGATACGCTCAGCTCAACAGCTCAAGATGTAAATTTTGAACGTAGGAAATGTAAATATCCGTAAATGTATCACTGTCATGACAAAGTCAGCACTTCTTGTTAGTTTTCTGATCGTTTATTACAGTTACCTCGAGTGGCACACTGGCCTTCATTACCCACATCCTCAGAGCATTTTCCTTGCTGCATCATTTATGGAATTGCATACTCGAGATTACATAATGGGTCATAAATAATGGAGGCACATGCCCGCTTTGTTCAGCGGGTTTAACTGGGGTCACTGGGTCCGCTCCGCTGGCCCACTGGCTGGCCGCTGTCTGTTGAAGCAGCCCACTGTTGGAAATGTGAAACTGCTCCTGAATTATCTCCAGCTACCACTTGAAAGCACTCATGACAAATAACCACGATCAGATGTCTTCAGTTGTAGTGAGTCCACCTCCTCCTCATTAGCTGCATTTTCTGTCAGCTGGTTTTAGGTATAATTATACGTCCCACAATGCCTCAAATCATGATTTACCATAATCTAAGATGATGATTAGAATTGATGAGTAATTTTTATCCAATGGTCGGACCATTTCTGTTATTATTCTGAGCTTCCTCGGCTTTGTGCCTGTTCTCGGCTATCACCCCGCCTCTGTCTCTGTCTCTGTCTCTGTCGCCGTCCGCTGCTGATAGTCTCTGAGCACTCACTGTCACCACCTACCCTCCATGGCGCGGAGATAGTGCGCCGTTTTTGTGCTCGTTGGCTGTCAGCGCGCCAGAGGTGGCGCGCCGCGCCGGCAGTCAGCTGACGGAGCGGCGCGCTGAGGGTGGAGGGGGCGGGGTGGCAGCGCCCGCCCCGCCCCGGCCCGCCCCCGCCGGGCCGACTGCCGACATCTCATCCAACACGTGAAGCCGGCGCTCGCGGCGACGCCATTTCATTATCTGGGCGGGCCGATAGCGCTGCCTTCGGCTTAATTTGGAGCGCGGCTCGGCGGAAAGCGTCACGCCCAAATGATCGTGCCGAATCTGCCATCCTCTCTTCAAATAGGCTTCGAGTCTTTTTATATTTCATTTTTTTTTTTTAATGCGTTATTTTTGCTGTGCACATATTTTTTGACAAACATACCTACATATCTCGCTCCTTCTCTTTCTCGCTGCCTATTTCTCGTTCCTCATCTTTGTCCCATATCTTTCCTCCCACCTCTAGCTTCCTCCCCCGTTTCCCTCCCGCTCCCACCCTGTCTCCCCTGCTCGCTCCTCCGTCCCGCCTGGTTTAGGTACCGCGTCACCCGGTGGGTGGCCGGCCGGTGTCGTGACCTTTTGACCGACGCCAGCCGCCGACCGCATTATTACCTGTGCTCCAACCCGCCGACCGACGCCGCCGCCAGTTCCCACATCATTCAGGGCTTCCGAGAAAATACGGCGATGATAATACGGTAGCATCAAGACGTTGTGTGTGGTTTACCGAGTGCCACTGGTGGCAGACTTATTAAAATGATTAATGGAGGTGGAATTGTGCAGTCAGTCTCACCAATAATTTGTTCAACCGTTTGTTGGCACTGGCATGCCGCCATTTATGAGACCGACATTATCATTCCTCTGACTCTGACATTCCTTTGTCATATCCACGCGAGCGCTTTCCTACCGGTCAGCATTCGCACGGCAGTTTTTGTGGCACTGCTTTCACCGCGCGACGAGCCGGCGCGGTCGGCCGTTCCGTACAAATGCCGGCGATGACGGCCGTCTGGCCGGCCAGCCCGGCGCGTGCCTCGCCTCCCCTCCCCTGCCCGCCGAGCGCCGCCCCTCTCCCTCCCCCCGGCGGCGGTCGGTGGGCCTTTGTAGTCAGCTGGTGGGTGTCGGCTTCCTTTGTTGGAGCGCCACTCTCGCTCGAGTCGGAAGTCGACGGCTGTCGTTCCGGTGACGTGACTGTGGCGGGGTGTCGGAGGCGTGAATCCACTAGAGCACGATTACGAGAACATATGCCGTCTTGCCATGGCAATCAATAACCTAAGGCGATTTATATTCATTCACACTTCTCTGAAATGTAACTTGCAGGCTGCAGCTATCCAAACAATCGTTTGGGTCGTTGCCTCCTGTTTTTGCGCGCCGCTCCGAGAAGCCTGCTGCTGGTCCCTGCGATCAAAACATTTCGAACATGCTTCTGGTCAGGCTCTGCTGTCGCAGGAGGCTTATATAAACCTGACAATTCCGAGGAACGCTATTGCGTTGCCCGTCTTATCCTCTCATCATCCTGGGACCGCGGTGGGTGCTGCCCCCGTCCTGTCCCCCCTCCCCCCACCGATATTCGTCGTGAGAACTCTGTTACGGTGTCGCCGGTCTGCACGGCTGTCGTTCACGGGGCGGTCACGGTGGCTGCTCCGGACTGCCCCGCTCGGGCTGACGCGGTGCGGCCAGGCCGTCTGCTCCGTGTGGGTGTTGGCACTGCTTCGCCAGCTGGATGGTTGATGGCCTGCCAAAGGCGTGGCT